GATAGATAGATAGATAGATAGATAGATAGATAGATAGATAGATAGATAAACAGTTTTGTATTTTCTGCACATGCTCTGCTCAGTTGCTCAAAATCACAGCATGAAGTACTTGATGAACTATTAATGCTGCCTCAGCATCAGTGTCATTTTACCTCGAGCTCACTGAACCCATGCACCCCCCCCCCCCACACACACACACACACACACACACTAGTCACGTCGATTCTTTGGCTGCTGCATGGGCATGAGGAAACTGCTGCATTTGTTTTGTCTGTTTTGTCCAAAGATGCTCTGACGTCAGGAGACGGCGTCAAGCAGGCGGCAGCGTCGGCTGGTCCGGGCTGCACGAGCTCCCTCCACAATTATAGTCTTTCAATCATGCGAGGAGACGGAGGGAGGGAGGGAGGGAGGGAGGAGAGACGTGCAGCTTGAACTCTGAGCATCCAAACAAGGACATAAAACATAATAAAATATGACCTCAGCCCTTAAATGAAACAAACACCTTAGAAACCGATTTATACAGATCCACACTTTAAAAGTTCTATTATTAAAAAAAATTACTTCATGTCTAAGGGTTTTATTTGAAATAAACACTTGAACACTTACATAATTACGTCCAAATATAAATAAATCTGCCTATTGGTTCATGAACACGAGCGAAGCTGAGCTAAAATATAAAGGCCTGAAATGATCAAAAGTAGAGAAATGAATATTTCTGTGATTCGTTTGGTTTTATTTTGATTTGTGCCTGTGATCTCGTGCAGCGTAATTGGCTGAGTCCAGCTTTATTTAGACTCCGCCCATGAGTCCTTAACCAGCCTGGCCCCGAGCTGTCAGCCGCAGTCTGGTGTCTCCAGCAGGTTCCGAGCTGAGCCTGCAGAGGACGAGCTGCAGCATCTGAGCACAGGAGAGCAGCTTTCCGAGGAGAAAACACCGACAAAAGGCAAGACATGTTTGTTTTATTCAAATTTAACGTGCATGCACAACAACAACAAAAAGTCGTCATTAATAATAATAATAACAATAATATGTTTGTTGTTCGCAGGTTGCAGATCAGCTCCACTTCTTGTCCAAAGAGGAGGAATAGCTCGAATCAAACTCCAGTCTCGTGCTGCAAATGAAGAGATCTTTAGAATAATTCCGCGCCATCTCCCTGGATATACTTTGTGTTGATTTAAAAGAAGAGGCGCGCCGTGCGTCATGATGGATGTGGCGGCTGATCAGCACCGCTGGATGCCTCACCACGCCGTGCTCAACGGACAGCACCCGGACTCCCTCCACCCCGGCCTGGGCCACAGCTACATGGAGCCCACGGCGCAGCTGCTGCCTCCGGATGAGGTGGATGTTTTCTTCAATCACCTGGACTCACAGGGAAACCCTTATTACCACAACTCAGCGCGGGCCAGGGTGTCCTACAGCCAGGCGCACGGTAACGGAGCTCATGCGTAATTCTCGGTTTCTGAGCGGGTTCAAAAGGGAACGAAACGTTTGAAAGTCCAGATTTGCATCTTTTAGTCTAAATTAATTCTTTTTAAATGAGTCTGAGCTGCAGGTTTTACTGAACAGATCAGGTCACTGATTTGAGACCGAATCATAAAACTTGCACATTTTGATTACAAATGCGGATTTTTGTTATTTTACGCAGAACAATGAAGCATTTATTTATTTGTTTGTTTATTTATTTATTTATTTAAACCGTTTGAAGTCAGTTTAATAATGAATGCTGTTTTTTTTTTTTTTTTTCACCCCCCAGCCCGTCTGACGGGGTCTCAGGTGTGTCGGCCTCTCCTCCACAGTCCGGGACTTTCATGGCTGGACGGAGGGAAAGCAGCCCTGTCGGCCCACCACCACCACCACCACCACAACCCTTGGGCCGTCAGCCCCTTCAGCAAGCCCACCCTGCACCACCACCCAGGCTCGGCCTCCCCCGGCTCCCTCCCGGCCGTCTATCCGTGCAGCAGCAGCTCGAACGCGGTCTCCGCATCTCCGCTGACGCCGCCGTCCCAAAGCAGCTCCCAGCTGTACCCGTTCCCCCCCACACCGCCCAAAGACGTGTCCCCGGATCCAGGGGCCGCGTCGCCTCACTCCTCCTCCCCATCATCATCCTCCTCCTCCTCAGCGGTCAGAATGGACGAGAAGGAGAAATACCAGGTGTCCCTACCAGAGGGCATGAAGTTGGAGGAGTCCAGTCCTCTGAGAAGCAGCTTCACCCCCTCCACCCACCACCCCATCCCGACTTACGCCCCCTACTCTCTCCCGTCGGCCCACGAGTACGGCGGCAGCCTGTTCCACCCGGGGTCTCTGCTGGGCTCTCCATCCAGCTTCAGCTGCAAGAACAAGAGCAAGGCCCGCTCCTGCACGGGTGAGCTGAACACACGAGTCCAGCATGTCCCAAATGATCAAAGGAATCTAAAATATCTCAGTCAAAGAGGCTTTAAGACCACCACGCGCTCTTTAAATAATGTTTTTCATGTGGCATGATGATGCGTAAATCTGTTCAAGTTCAGATAACTGTATTCCTTATATTAAAAAAAAAGTTTAATTTCAGTAAATAAATAAATTAAAAAATAATTTAAAAAGGAAACTATAAAAAGTTGACATCATCACACAGAGGGAAAAAAGACAAACCTATAAACTGTTTTGGTTTTTGAAAACATCTGAATTTTTAAGGAGAAAAATGCAGCCTAAACAACATTTAAATGATGATTTAAAAGATTTAGTTATAAATTATATATAAAAATATATATATAATTAGAAATTATATATTTTTTAATTTTTTTCATTGTTAATAAGAATAAAAAATAATTTATTGAGTAAAAATATGTGAAAGAAGCAGAACCAAAAACTGAAAACAGGACTGTTTCATCAAGTTACTTATCAGAACAGTGATTTATGTTTCTTAGCTGTACTAATGCAACAACAACAACAACAACAAAAGATGGATTCTATTTTAAATGCAGGATTTGAAAATCAGGAAGCTCCAGCAATGATCTTTGACCTAATAAAATTGATGTCTAGTATTAAAAATATTAGGGATCAGAACTTGCACCAGGAGTCATTTCAATAATTTGTTGTTGTGCATCTGAGCTGACTGGAACAAACTGGTCTGACCCTGAAAATAAGATTCTGTAAAAAGCTAAAACCTGAGAGTCTCTTCTCTGTTTGCCCTGGTTCATGTAAGACTTTGTCCTCATTGTTATTATAAGAGATATGGTCAAAGTGCAAACAGAAACATGCTCCCTAGAATTAATATGATTATGTGACGTGCTTTTTCAGTATTGCAAGCTAAAGCAGCTATTAACATGAACTGAAAATATTTTCTAATGACTTATGTTTTTCTTTGTAAGATTAAAATTCTAATTTTACAATTTTGTGATAAATGGTAGTAACATGAAGCAAAAACATGCATGCCTGCTTCTTTAGAAAAATAATCAGTCTAATTAAAGACAATGGAACTGATTCAAACTGGTTGGAAAATAATAAAAATAATCACTTGCATGTATTAAATTCTGACATTGTAACGTGTGTGTGTTGTGCAGAGGGCCGTGAGTGTGTGAACTGTGGGGCCACCTCTACGCCTCTGTGGAGACGGGACAGCACCGGACACTATCTGTGCAATGCCTGTGGCCTGTACCACAAGATGAACGGCCAGAACAGACCGCTCATCAAACCCAAACGCAGGCTGGTGAGTCCCGTCCTCTGCCTCATCTGTGGATGGAGGTGAACTAGTGCTTTGTGAGAGGGCAGTAAATAAAAAGAGTGTGAGGTGAAGGGTGAGGGGAGAAGGTACAATTCCTGGAAAGTTATATTTTCTCAATCAGCTTCCAGGAATTGTGTTTCTTCCTCACCTCTTGCTCCTGCAGCCCAGGCTGTACGCAGAGCGGGGCCCTCTGGGTTGTAGTTGTTATCAATATTACAGCTACTCCTGATACGGACACTGATAGCACGGTCAGTGGAGCATCTATTAAAACAGATGATTTACAGCACAAATATAGGACCTTTTTTTTATCCTAATGAGCTGCATTGTCATATTCAAGCTGCTCCGTGGACTTATTTCTTAACATTTAACTTTTAAAATGTGGAAGAAGCAGAACCACAAAGATGAAAGCAGTTTTTTTTTCTTAAAACTTAAAGAAAGTACACATGAGTTAGATAACATTTTGGTAAGTCAGAAACAAAAATGATGCTTAGATTAACCTGCTGGATGTTTTTCTTCATATTTTCATGATCATTTTGTTTGTTTGTTTTAATCAATAGCAGATCAGCTGTTGTGTTTTGCAGCAGGGTGTGAAATTTGAATGATTTAAATTATAATGTGTAGAAATGGTCCTAAATGTTGTTGTTTTTTTATTGTAAAGAAAGATTGAAAGAACAGAAAGATTTTACAGATCAATACAATGTAAATGTCTCCACAACCATTAAAGGTCCATTAGGAGATGAATGAGCTGTGTTAGTAACACTGTAGATTTTATTATTTATTATTATTTATTTTAAAAAGCTTCTTTTTTAATTATTCGTCTTCAGTGAGGAGCATTCCACTTCACTCGCGCATGCATCGTCGCCTCCGACAACCAAATCCATGAAAAACCGGCAGGAAAACAAGCTGTCTGCTTCATACAAATGATCCAAGCATTGTTTCCGCGCCACGAACCGGGCCTGCAGAACCACATAGATGGTCATATATCAGCTCTGGTTTCCGTACAGCCCGGCCCGGGAGTCGCAGCTCTGCAGCGCGTCCTGCGCTCTGCGCCACCACAACCTCCGCTTGTTTCCTATCCGGATGCCTGACCGCTCCTGATAAAACAGAAGCCCCTTCACCCCCCCCCACCCCCACCCCCCCGGCCACCCACCCTCCCTGCTACACCCTGCACACACCCCCACCCATCCACCCCTGCGGCTTCTTAACTCTAGACCTCATTTCTGAGGGGTCAGGCTCTCCGTCCACCACACCAGTGCGTAAAACAAACAAAAACAAAACGAGACATGAGGACAACTTTGTTACCATTTAATGATATAGATGCAGGTTACTGTTTACAATAGGTGGAATTTAAAAACATGAAATGTAACAAAACCAACATTTTCATAAAAAAAAATAAACACCTCATACTCAAAGCAACAAGGATTTGTAAAAGAATAAATGAAATATTCCATATGAAGGCAGCTAATATTTGTCAAAAGCAACACAGTTTAGTTTTTATTCAGCTCGTTGGTGAAAACAAAATTAGTTCTTTGCTCGATACGCGTGTCACATATTAGCCAGAACAGTAAAGATCTGCATGAGAGGAACTGGATTAGGCTATTGTTGGACAAAACAAAACAATTTTGAGACATACAGATCTTTTATTTTTTAAATCCCCCTTCTAAACTCTTGGAACGAGCATTAGCCACAGTTTTCCTTTGTTTTGAGACGGTTCGTTTGATAATCATCACATCACCTGAATCATTTGAAAGTGTGATCTTCACACCTCACCATGAGGGAAAATTCTGCTTATAATGTGTAAATGCAAAAAATCTTTATTCCTGTTTGTGGTGTTGATGGTCGAAGTTGAATCTTTAATTTTAATCTCTCGCAGTCGGCTGCCAGACGAGCGGGCACCTGTTGTGCCAACTGTCAGACGACCACCACCACTCTTTGGCGGCGCAATGCGAATGGAGACCCGGTGTGCAACGCCTGCGGCCTGTACTATAAACTGCACAACGTAAGTCTCTGCCCTCTAACCCCCAGCGTGGGCTCAGTAAACTGACAGGTTGCATTGATTATTGAGTATTAAGGAAAGAAGTGCAGAATAAGAGAAGCAGAGAGAAATGTTCTTCTCTCTGTAGCGTTTTCTTTGTTTGTGTAGAAGTTAAAATCATATTTTAGGCTACTGGTTGCTGTTGTTCCTGGAAGGCTTTGGTTTTACGTGCGCTCAACCAAGATTCACTATGCAGATCTTCATTTGATTTATAATTCATAAAGCCATTTATTTCCTTCACAGTGTCCATTTCCATTTAGAACCAAATAAATCTGCCTTAACTCTTGAACTAAGCACGTGGCTCCACTGTTCAGCTTCTGTGCTATCCCTGATTGTTGTTAGCAACAAAAGTTTGAAACCTTTTGTCTTCATTTTCTTAGAACTGATGTGCTTAGTTTAGAGTTAATGTGGCTTTATTTGGTTCTAAATGGAAAAGGGAAAGGTAAATGGACATTGTGAAGAAAACAAATGTCTTTTCGAAATTAAGATTTGCATAATGAATCTTGGTTGAGCGCACGTACAACCAAAGCCTACCAGGAACAACAGCAACCAGTAGCCTAAGATATAGGATTTTAGCTGCAACAGTTTGCTTCATTGTTTTCATGATCATTCCCTTGAGGGTCACAGAAGGACTGATGAATCTCAGCTTTAAGATGCAACTGTGGTCACTTGCAATGATTCAATGATTGAGTTAAGAAGTGTGCACTCAAAGTGTGATTGGTCCTTAGTGCACTGTGATTTATTTTGGATCAGTGTCGCATGGTCCTACCGTATATACTTCTGTGGAACAGTGAACATTAAACAGTGGCTCACAATAATAATGTTTAATGGCATTTGCTCAAAAACGGCAGTTTCATTCCGATACAAGTGATTATTATGTTTCTTTTTTTGTTCTCAAGCTGAAAATCAAAGTGCAGGTTCAGTGCTGTGCATCAACTATTAATGAAAAGTAACACGAGTCATATTTCTTTCACTCATTCTTTCCTTTTATGGGTGGAGAGGTGCAGCATGAACAAATAAAATCATAACAGGGCGTTGCTTTTCCTGCTTAAATTGACAGAGAGTCAAGAAACTGTTTTTTCAGATGCAGTCCATTAAATGGATGTTATTAGTTGCTATCATCTCCATAGGTAGCATTCAGACTGTTCCCCCTCCTAGTAGGTTTAAAGTTACATTTTTATGGGTGATAATATGCATCGTGGCTCGAGTGTAAAATCGGAAATGTATTTTAGTTTTCTTTAAATTACCCTTTTCCTAAACCTAACCTTATACCTGACCCAGACCGCTGACCCTAAACTGAACCCCCTGACCCTTGAGCCTAAACCCTGACCCTAAACCTAACCCCCTAACGTAATCCTTTTCCTAAACCTAACCTTATACCTGACCCAGAGCACTGACCCTAAACTTAACCCCCTTACCTTTGAGCCTTAACCTAACCCTTATCCTAACCACATACCCATTTTAGCAGTGATAAGAACATACCTTTAAATCTACTAGGAGGTAAAGGAGGGGCAGTCTTAATGCTATGTATGGGGATAGAAACTAATAAAGGCCATTTAATGGATGATAACATCTGAAGCGGGTGATTATTTTTTTTTGGTCCAGGCACAAAAATGCCCCAGTTAGAATATGTTTTACTTTTTAAACCTAGAATTAATATTAAAAGGTATCAGGTTATTAAGCATTTTGGGTTTAGCAAAAACGTGATTATATGTGATTGTGGTTTTAAGTGAGAAACATTTTTCTCAAACTGGGATGGTTTGGGATGTTTCTGTTATTCCTCTGCTAAAAACTCGTACTTTTAACATTTCACCATATTTATATAACACCTTTTAGACAAGATTGTTGATCTTCTCGCCCATTGTTTCTCCACACAGGTGAACCGACCCCTGACCATGAAGAAAGAGGGAATTCAGACACGTAATCGGAAAATGTCCAACAAATCCAAAAAGAGCAAGCGTGGCTGCGACAGCTATGAGGAGTTCTCCAAAAGTCTGCACGACAAGAGCTCTCCCTTCTGCACCTCAGCTCTGGCGGGTCACATGTCCATGGGGCACCTGCCGCCTTTCAGCCACACGGGACACATGCTCCCCACGCCCACTCCCATACACCCATCGTTCGGCCACCCGCACCACTCGAACATGGTGACGGCGATGGGCTGAGAGGAGGGGTTTCCAAATGTTTTAATAGCTGGTTACGCAAGTGGGGATATAATAAAAGACAGCGTGTACAGTACAGATGTGCAACATGTGTGTCTTTAACTTGGTTTCATTGACACTGCTGTGGGAGGACTTTGACTTCTTATCCGTAGGTACCAAATTTGATGGAGAGGCATTTGACTTCCTGTTGGCCAGGCACGCACATGAACACAAAAAGGACAGTTTTGCTCCCACTGACAGCTTGATCATCTGCAGCGTGGCTGAGCATGTGTCCAACAGGCTTATTGTAACTGTGAATAATGTAAAAGTGCGAGACCAAACGGTGCGTCCCAGACAGAGTTAAAATACCCTTCACTACTTAAAACAAGCTAAGATTTTGTTTTCAGCTCGTGGACACTTTTTCCACAAGAGAAAAAGACAAAAAAAGGGAACGAAAAACAGGTTTATGGTTTCTAATTTGACACTGTTTCTTATAAATATTGTTATTGTAAGTAATATTGTTATTCAGATAATTTATTTTCACTATTTTTTGTGGCTATATTACCTGATTTATAATATGGATGATGTTATCCCAGTTATGAGAATATTTTTAGCTGAAAGCGCTTTGTCTGAGCTGGTCAACATTTATACTTTAAGAAATAAAAAAAATAAAAAAAACACTAAATATTTTCTGTTTGTTGAACATCAGGTAAAAAACATGTTGTACATCTCTGTTGATGAATAGATGAATAGATACATTTTACTAGTAAAAGATGAGTTTTAGAAATACAAACAAAGCATCAGCAACAATTATATAGTTTCATGCATTTTTTTTTCTAATTTAAAACATTATTATGCACATCATATGCACATCAGGCATCCACGGCTCTTCATCCTCACTGGAGCTTCATACTCACAGACACTCATCTGACTTTTATGAAAAAGTGCACATAAACCAGTGTAAGATTTGCTTGATGGCCAAATGCTAAAATGGAGGTTTTTGTCATTTCATTCCTTGTATTGGATGCATTCCACAAAAATACTCCAAAAGTTTCTCTGCCTTTTATTACATTATGCTTGAATCTTCTTTTACATATTTCAGCTTTTCCCTTTTCGGGAGTCGCCACAGCGAGTCATCCTCCTCCATCTCACTTTGTCCTCTGCATCCTCTGTCCTCACTCCATCTCCTTGTCCTCTCTAACTGCATCCATGTATCTCCTCTTTCTATTTTTCCTGGCAGCTGCATTTCTAACATCCTTCTATCAATATACCCACTGTCCCTCTTCTGGACATGTCCAAACCATCTCAATCTGGTCTCTCTAACTTTATCTCCCAGTTGTCCAACCTGTGCTGTACCTCTGATGATCTTATCCATCTATGTCTCTCCTAAGGAGAACCTCAACATCTTAATTTCGGCCACTTCCACTTCTTTCTCTTGTATTTTTGTCCATGCCACTGTCTCCAGATCATACAACATAGCTGGTCTCACCACTTTCTTGTAAACTTTTTCATTGACCTTTGCTGACACTCTTTTGTCACAAATCACTCCTGAAACTTTTCTCCATTCACTCCATCCTGTCTGGACTCTCTTTTTCACCTCTTTACCACACTCTCCATTTTCCTGGACAATGGACCCCAAATACTTGGAAGACCTTTGTGACCTCTGCTCCTTGTAGCCTCACTGTTCCACCGACCTCCCTCTCATTCACACACGTACTCTGTCTTACTACGGCTGACTTTCATTCCTCTTCTTTCAAGCGCATACCTCAACCTCACCAAGTTATCTTCCACCTGTTCCCTGCTCTCACCACAGATCACAATGTCATCTGCAAACATCATAGTCCACGAGGATTCCTGCCTGACCTCACCTCTTAGTCGGTCCATCACCAGAGCAAACAAGAAGGGGCTCAGAGCTGATCCTTGATGCACTCCCACCTCCACCTTAAATCTATCTGTCACTCATACAGCACATCTCACCACTGTCCTGCTGTCCTCATACATGTCCTGTACCAGTCTAACATACTTCTCTGCCACTCCAGATTTCCTCATGCAACACTACACCTCCTCCCTCGGCACCCTGTTTTTCTGAATCCACGACATAATGAACTTTGTTTGAATGAACACAAGTATAATAAACAAATTTGGAAACTTCAGGTTTTCACACAGTTAAATAATTTGATAACAGTTTCAACAGACTTCATAACCACCACACTGTAATTGTGTGTGTGTGTACACTTTTTTTTTTTTTTAAATAGCTTAATCTCATCAATTTTCCGGCAAAATAAACAAAACTCAGTCATGTCACACAAGATAAAAAATGGCCACTCCACCGACTGATTCTATCCTATTTGTTGAGGTCAGTGACAATCATCATGATAAATGTACATTTTTATCCTTTAATCGTGTTTGCATTCTGCCAGACTAACAACACCATCCTTGACTCTTCTTTAACTCAGCTACACTGATTAATGTGCACCTTTATGTTAATGGTCATTAGTGCAGTAACAAGAACTCTTTTAGCTCACTATGTGGTAGCACGACAGCTCAGTGGTTAGCACCGTTGCCTCACAGCAAGAAAGTCCTGGGTTCAGTCCCCGGTTGGACCTGGGGTCTTTCTGTGTGGAGTTTGCATGTTCTTCTCATGCTTGCATGGGTTTTCTCCGGGTACTCTGGTTTCCTCCCACAGACTAAAAAATATGCATGTCAGGCTGCCTTCAAGCCCAGGCCTCCCTCGCAAAAGAGCTCTGTGATCTTAATGAGATTTGCCTGGTTAATAAATGAAGGTTAATAAAAATAATAATCACATCATGGCAGCAGATTGTAACAGAAGAAGTTGGGACATGACTTTAGGAATTGAAGCTTATAAACATGTCTGAAGTGAGCAGTTTACATGAAGAAATCACCAAATTTATCAGTGAAAGATGTTCTGATTCACACAAGGTGATTCACAAGACTGATCAACATTTATCTGTAACATTTAGTTGCATTATTTGTTGTGCAACTGAGTGAAACACAAAAAGCAAAAACTTTATATACTTTAGACAATGAATCATTTTTCTGCACATAACATGATATATGAGAAGCTGGGTTTCACTCTACACACACAAACTTACTTCTAACAATAATGTGTAATTGCCGTTATTATTTAGGTTTTTAGGTTGTAAATGAAAGTTGAAGTAACTTGAGAAACAAAAAACAACAACACACACAGCCAAAAAATTACAAAAAACTAAACAAACAAAAAAAACAACAACCTGTAAACTCTGCAGAAAGACCTGCGAAGGAAAAATTAAAATTAGAGACAAACGTGTTAATCCTCACCGCACCGTGTTGTCCAGTTTAAGTCTCATTTACACAGGAATATAAAAAAAACTACAACTGTTTATCAATTTATAGGTGGGAGGGGGGGGGGGGTTTATAAAAATGGGACACAGTGTCAAAGTTGAAAAAAAAAACACAGCACATGAAACAGCAACATACTTACTAACGTCAAATGTTATAACTCATTATCACGTATGCGTGTTAAAGAGTTGTTCTTGTCTGGATCAGAGTGCTGCATAAGCATGGAGCCTTTCACCCGAATAAGCAAGGAGGCTGCAAGAGTCGTCTGACCTTGCAGGAAAGACACTTCCTCATGCTCTCTTTGAGCAGACTCACAGAAGAAGCCATGTAAATATCTTACCTGCTTGTATTTCAACTCTGCTTCATCTTGCAAGATTAAACCTGGGATTAAGAAAATGATCTACCTCTCCTGTGTGGCGTATTTATTTAATGAGCTTTTGAGCAATTTTTTTCTTAGTTCATATCTTAGATGTTATTATTGTTTATCTTTTACATTTTATTGTTGGATGTAACTGGGACCCTGAGTACATAATTTCGTTCCACCACATGTACCACATGTGGTGCAAACGGCAATAAAGAATCTCTGACTCTGAAAGGATAATATGAAATTATCCTAAGAGAAGGCTGACGAAGGCTGTGAGTTTGTTTGTGGACACTGCCAGATAGTCGTCATAGTCCTGATAAGAGAAGGTGCAGTGTCTATCAGCCGGCTCAGCTCTGATACAGGTCCACATATGTCCTCGGGAAGGGAGCAGGTGGTGGTGGTGGTGGTGGGGTGGGGGGGCAGAGCTTCTTGTTCACATACCATCCAGGAGAGTTTGAGATAGTTGGCCAAGTCAATAAATAGAATGAACATTTGTTATATTAGTGTCAAAAACATTATTAGACTTGACATTTTACAGATTAGGCTTAGGCTTTCACATTTTGATTCAAATACAAAAATGTTTGAAATATGTCAACATATGTGTCAAAATGTAAAACTTAATATAATTGAAATTGTGGAACTTTATACACATTGTGAACAATAGCTTGTCACAAAACGACTTGTTGCACTGTTTCGGTTGAACTTATAGAAACCCCCCAAAGATAACACACTTTGACACATAAAATATATTTTAGCACCAATAAGATGATCCTGAAAAAGCTGAAAACTTGACAGTGAGTGTAGATTATCTACCATACTGCAGGATAATGCATCTCCCAGGTCCTGCTTCAAGTCTCTGCTGGATTTCAGACTTTCAGATAGTTTTTAGATCTGATGCGTTTCTTATAATTTGATGATATTCTTGTGTTTTCTTCAACTCTTGTTGTGACTGCTTTGAAGACAGCAGCTTTTTGTGTCAGCAGGACACAGTTGTGTTTCTATAACACACCCGGTGACCTCCTTGAGGACGCACAACAGTCCTGTTGAAAATAAATGATCTCTAGAATGGTATCAGCATGTTCGAGTTTTCTAATCCAAGTTGACACAATCCACTACTTTCTAATAAACAGGTTGCTTCACTCAGCTGCAGAGATTAACTCTGTTGACAGAAACTGAGCAGGACAAACCATATGTTCCCCCGGTTACTCAACAAGTTGCATCTGCTCATTGAATAACGCCCTTATGAAATGGGCTTTCTCGTTATAGGTTAGTTACATGAAGTTGTGATATAACATATGTTTAGAGCACATAATGATAATCTCTGGTAAACTAGTTGGAGCGATGTAAAATAAAATTAATCATTTTTTTATGTTTAAGTGTAAAAAAATGCACTTGTATAATTTTAAACTTGGAGATGAGAATATATATATATATATATATATATATATATATATATATATATATATATTATTGTAGTTTAGAAAAAAATGAGTCATTTGGTAATATTTGCTATCATTTTTGTTGTAAATTAATCGTTGTGAAATAACTTGTCTTTTGCATGTTTCAATGTTAGACCATCTTTAACACATTTTAAAATATTTAGCTTTTAACACGGAACAAAAAGCTGC